AATTATTATAAAATTATTTGTATATGTATATTTTAATGTTTTTGCACAAAAATATAATTATTTGCTACTTCAATCACTTCCAGGTATACAACTCAGGAATATCCATGATACTAATCATATTGTGTAATTATTACCCCTACTTGTTGACAAATTTCCCCTCACTTTAAAGAGATTGTATCATGTACTTTTCAATCAATAGTTCCCTTTCCTCCTCTTGGTCTTGACTTTGCTAATCACTGATAAATTTACCTCAGCACATTAGTCTGTGTTGTGACACCATATGACTGAAGTTTCCATGTGTGCACGTTTGTGATTGATTTCCTCCACTTAGTATATCTATGTTAACCACATGTACAATATACTTCAAGTATACTTTTTCAAAAGTTGTTTGTTGGCCTGTATATAATCATTAATCCACATCATATTTTGTACATGTGCTTTCTGTTTTATACAATCATTCATAGACATTATATTCCATAAAATTATTTATCATTCTGTTACTCCTTTATCACCCAATATTTTCAAGTTTCCACTGAATTTTTTCTACTTCTCCCCCATTCAACCCATTAATGTCTTCTATCACAGTGATTTTTCATCCTTCCTGTTTTTCTATCCACCTTCTCTCCCTTCTCTGCTCCTTTTGAACATTTATAAATTTTGCTCTCATTTACATTTCTATTTTCAAAACAATGGCTTTTGAAGACCTCCAGGACAGGAACCTGCATTCTGAGATTTACATATGTGCCATGGCATTTCATAGCAGCAACCCACATGCAAGAGAGGAGCAGGAACTCAGCAAAGGGGGAACTGCTAAGGTGGCCCAATAATTGTCTCTGTACCCATTGCCCCTGGATATGAGAAGTTTGCAAAAGTGTGGCTCTTGCTTATGAATGAAAAACAAAATAGTCTGTCTTAACTTGCTCTTTGAGAAGGCTAATAAATATGAAGAACCAAGAACAATCTGGGCTTTTATCCTTCTTGAAGAATTGAATCCCCTGACCCCTTCTTAACGATTGGTTTGTATCTTAGTTTTCTTTTGGTCACCGTTTCACTCCACTTCTGCAGAATACCATGGCACTTTTCATTCTGGCTCTTGTAAGTAGTAGTATGCTACATTTACCTTTTTGTGACTGATATTTCACTCAGCACAATGCTTTCTGCTCTCTAAGTTATATAGTGTTAAAATCATTGTTGCTTAATGTTGCATAGAATTCTCTTGTGTGAATGTACCATAATATCTAAATATATTTATTTATTGATGGGTATTTGGGATGCTAACACTTTCTTGCTATTGTAAATAAGGCACCTTAAACATTTCCTGATGGCTGAGAGTTATTTCTGTTGTTAAATGCCATTGAATCAATTATGATTCATAATATCACTAAGATCAATATATCTGAACTCGATCCTATTCTGCACTCTCTGTATCATTCCTGACACATTTGAGCCCATTACCACAGATAATGAATCAACCATTTTGTTGAGGATCTTCCTATTTTTTTTCAATTGACCTTCCACATTTCCGAGCATGATGCCCCCCCACCCCCCGCAAGGAATAGCCTATTCTAACAGCATGCCCTAAGTATGTGACATGAAGCATTGGAAATCCTTGCCTCCAAATAAGTACTTTGGTTTCACTTTCTCTGAGATATATATCTGTTTGTTTTTTTGG